CCAACCCCTCGCCAACCCATCACCACAGTGCTTCGGGGTTCGGGTTCCCGGTTTCGGGTTAATCAGGTTAATTTAACTACTTACAGGACAAGTGATAATTATTACATGATACGCACGGGTTTGGTTGGTCCGACATGAGGTACCGGCCTCGTAAATCCACCCATTCTGTGGATCAACCCGATTTCAAGTATTAGTAGCGATGATCTCTTGACGAAGTATTTACTGGGCTTGAGTTGTGAGATCTTCTTACTGATATAAGCGTGACGGCGTCTTGCAGACATCCAAACCAATACCAACACACTTGCGTCGGGTGAGACAATACATTAGGAGGTACCTCGTAGTGATGAAGAGTTAATAATGATGTAACAAAGAATGTAGTAGTACAGTCAGTCATGTAGCTAGTTTATACCCTTCGATATCTCGCTTCGCCCCAAGGATAGTCCAGTGGTTTGGCAGTCTCTGCTGGGTTAAATGCCTAATTATATCCTCACGGAACAGTCCGTCGACAAGTCCAAGTAGGGGTCGTGACGACAGTGATAACCCAGTTCAGTTAGACGACAATGACTGACTCTCAGTTCAGTTGGACGACAGTGATGACCTAGTTCAGTTGGACGACAGTGATGACCTAGTTCAATTGGGTTAGACCTGTCACCCGTTCGGAATACACGAGCGGTGTTAAACTCTGTGCGATAGACGAGGGCAATACATGCGGTCGAGGAGAATATGAAAATATTTCTTACAAAGAGCGCTTGTCAAAAACTGATGATAACCGGTCCCTGAAGTCAAGCGACGAAGCAGAAGCTGGAGGGAATCGGACTATGCGTTTGGCGTCCATTAGGCCGCCGAGATGCGGGATGATTTGCAGCCCCTACTAGCCGTCTAATGTGAAGAACGGTGTGGTGAATCCTCAGATCATCATTATTATTGTCGTATTTCCTAGTATCTGAGGGAGTTTCTAGGGTTGTGGGATATAGCTACTTATAAGTATATAAGTACGTTGAATGGGTCATGTGGGTTATGATCGCATGACAAACGGGTTGAGAACAAGTTGGTAATTGAGGCCGAGTTTGGGACCGAGACTGAGGTTGGGACGGCTATGACGAGATTCATGCCTGGAACTGAGGTATAATAAGGTTATTGGTCGTATCTTGGAAGTTCGAGATATACTGGAGAGAAATTGTCAGCTTTGGGGTTTTCCGATGGACAAGAATTATTGCAGTAGAATTAAAAAAAAATTAGTGAGATAGTAGTAACATGGTGGTAGAGTATAGTGACAAGATAGGATGACAGGGCAAGTATGATGCTGGGGTAGGGTATAGTGATTGGATAAGACGTGTGACAGGTAGAACCTGTAGTTGAGGGTAATGAAATGAGGTAAAGGAATTGAATATTACTTACTTTCTATCGAAAACCTTACTGGGATGAAGTAGTGTCACAATGTTGTTGTTGATGTTATCCTTGATGTTGTATTGGATACTTTCTAGTGTGGGGTGCTAGCATTGTCTATGCAGTAAATTGTAATGTTCCTCGGGGACTTGTGGCTGATGGAGTCGACAAAGTACATGAAGTATGATGGCAATGTTGGATGAAGTTGGATGATGAAGTTGGATGAAGTAGGATGCTGAGGTAAAATTTTAATGTAGGATGAAGTTGAATGATAAAGTTGAATGATGAGGTAGGATGATCAAGTGGAATAATCAAGTAGGATGATAAAGTTGGATGTTGAAGGAGGAAAAAAGAAAGCAGAATAACTACCTGCGGGGGATATTTTCTAGGTAGTGCTGCAGTGAAAGTTGAATGACTCAATGTTAAAGTTTGGAGAAAGCAGTTGCCGGTTTGAAAGTAAACTCAAATTTTGACTCAAATTTTAAGTTGGAAGAAAGTAGTTGCCCAAAAGTAAAGTGTTTCAAGTTTTGAGTTTACAGAAAGTGGTCATTTGGTTCGAGTGTGGCCACGTGCGTAAGTTTAGGTTTGAAAGTTGTAGCTGCGAAAAAAAAAATAAGCAAGAACCACGCGTGTAGTTATTGCCTGCTCATTTGAAGACGGAACGTAGCTTGGTACTTATATAGACACGTAAGAAGAGAAGAGAGTAGTCGGAAACCGAACCGTGATGTGCCTACTTATGGCAAATGAGTGGCAGGCATTCCGCACGCGAAACTTAGAGCGATGTGAGAATGAAAAAATCAGAGTTTGAAGTATGCGCGAGATAGAATGTTTAGGTAAAGTTAAAGTTGTGTTAGAAGTCGGTTAACTACTCAAACAGGAGTTGCAAGTCCGAGTTGTGATTGCGATTACGTATTTGACAATTCAAGGCAAGAGCCTCGGCAACTAATGTTTAGGTAGTTTCCACGTTGCCATCCTAACTAGTTAAACCTTAAAGGCGAGACCTCTAGCAATTATTGTCTGCGCATTGGTGAGAACATTGGAAAGGGGTATGGCTACCTTGGTTTCCATCTTTTGATTCTGGTTGCTTGAATAGTCGAGGCGAGAGCTTTGGTAACTATTCGTTATGGGGGTACATCGATACGAAGGACGGAAGGAACAGAGTTTAACTTGCGGTTGCGTTTGCTTTTCGCTTTAGGTAAGCAGTATGATAGGACGTACTTGCCTATTAGGTTGATGGTTCGGGGGGTGCATGTACATAACTACGATGTTTGATACTAGCGCGCTGTTACATATGACTCATGGTAAAGTTTGAAGAGGGTTTATGCCGTCGATACTAGTTGAAGAAGGAGTACCTCCTGTTTAGAAGTCTCTACCTTGGGTACTTACCTAGTATACTCGAGCCTGACAATGTTGATAGGTACTTAATGTACCTCTTGGTACTTTCTTCGTTGCTTTAGGTTAGGTACATCTGTGGAATGACAGGATAGTGTGATGTTATAGAGTTTCTCAGACCCCACTTCTGCTTGGTCAAATCTTATATATGTCTTTAAACATCGCGCCTTCCCGCAGTACTGAGGGATAGGATGATATTGATTACCTAACGTTAAGTTAATAGTTGCTGGCCAAAGCCCAGTAATTCTCAATATACATTATGGGGCTGGGGGGTCCATTGACATAATGTCGGAGGTACGTTGCTTAAGAATCAGTCCCCCAGCTGATTAGTATATCTAATATGGTCACCTTTGGGGTGGTTATATGCCAAATATGAGGATGACCATGCCTGAAATAGCTACCCTACGTACACGATTATATCTTGTTGTAATTGTATTGCTTTCGAAATACTAATATGTTGGGAAAGTGTAGTCCCTTAAACATGGTTACCAACAATAGTTACGGTTACCTAATCGATATATGTCACGTATGAGGCTATGTCAGTCCAGGACACGATGTCAGCCTAAGTCATATATTAAAATAAAATAAAATAAAAGAATAGACTGGAAGGCCCTATATCAAATTACAGGACCTTGAAGATATATAAATAGGCATATAGCACAGGCACATGTAAACGTCAATTGAAAAGATTACGTTGAAATATCACGAGATTACGGGCTACGCATTTTACCATTACACTACGAGGTTTACGAATACGATTAAAGTTTATTTTATTGCACTATATATGCATACTATAGGCCCTCATTTAACCTATATATACCCGAGGCTGACATTGTGTCCTGGCCTGACATTGTATTGATACTGACATCTATTGATACTGACATCGTGGCTTTACTAACATTGTGGTGGATATACTGGCTACCTAGACATCGTCAACAGGCCTGGTAATTATGGCGAAATAGACAGTACCTCTGACATAATAAATACCTTGACATACTGTCGATTAGTACTGACTTGTAAGTACCTGTAATGAAATCGGTACAACAAGGCTTGCAGACATTATATCGACCTGTTGACATGGTCTTGACACGATGTTGGGGGCCTGTAATTATGTAATTACACCGACACCTTTGCTGACATAATGTCAATAGACCCCCCCAGCCCCATAATGTATAGCATTAAAAATATATACGTATACCTTTAATGTACGTATTGGTTACATAAATAAAAAATATTTACGATCTACTTAAACCAGGTTAGGTCAGGTCTAGGTTAGGTTAAGCTCTTAACTGACTCATCGAACACGCTGCTTACAACTCAGCACGTATGTATGTATTCAATGGAAAACCGGAAGCTAAGAGGGGACGAAGATATAAGGAGCAATTCTGCTTATGCTTTATTTAGCTAGATTATAATTAAGGTATTATGGCGAGTGGTGGCCGTGATGAATAGCTATGCTAAGGTAATTAATGTACAAAGGTAAGCTACTATACTTGGAGGAGGCTATGCTGATGCTAACGTATATCTATAGCGACGAAGATGTCATAGACGTGTCGGTGCGAGTTTTCGACTGTCTCGGGAAGAGCAAATTTTCATCGGTGTGCGTGATGCTTGGTTCGTCAAAAGGGTGCCATATCTTCGCGGTGACTTAGTATTTGAACATATTAATCTATCATGGCTTGTCGTGGCTCCCAGCCGTTATGCAACGCGTGGCATCTCGCGGTTACGAGAAACAGGTTAAAAGTCTCGATACGCTGGGCATTGAATCTTACTTTGGATCGCAACCAATGTCCCACCGTGCCATCGAGGTAGCCCCCCAAGGGCCCTAAAGCCTCGCACTCGTCGGCGAAGCCCGAGGGGCCGCCAAGCTCTGCGATCGCTTGTTCGAACGTGGACATGTAGCGGACCATGAACACCGCTACGACGTCCCAAAAGATTAGCCCTGTGGGGCAGGGTTCGCGCGTGTGGTATGCAGAACACCAGATGAAAGGCAAGCCGCACTTAAAGCAGCAGGTAAAATCTTGCAAGCGTCGTAGTTTGTCTGTGGATTGGTTTAGGATGTCCCTCGTCCTCGACATCTCCGGACTGATGTCGACGGAACCGTCCGGACAGTCTCGAAGGTAATGGTTCTCCGTCATAGAACCGTCCATGCAGCACAGGGGGCAGAATCCGGTGCGTAGCTCCAGTAGGTGATCGCGAAGGTGGTAGGCTTGGGCGACCAACTAGGCCTGCCGCGCGTCTCCGTCCTTGCGTATGGTGTTGGCTGCCACCTCGCGCGGTACGGCGGTCGTCTTGGGCGTGGCCCTGTTCCTAGGGCTGCTGCGAGTAGGCGTGTTCACCGAGAGCGCGTTGAAGCTGCCGAGGGCGGAGGGCGGCGAGAAAACATCGGCGGAGGATGGGTTGATCGTAGAGTGGGACGAGGTGCTCTGAGAGCGGTACGATGACGGAAGGTCAAAGGTATGTTGAGTGCCGGATCGTGCCGGCGTGAGAAATGTCGAGTGCTCTTCTCTGCTCGGGCGGGATACCGACTCGGACGACGCGGGGGTCGGGAGATGTGGGTTCATCGCGCGCGAGAAACGCAAGGCGCACGGGGTGCAAGCGTTGTGGAAAGGGCCGCACTGCTGGGGTTTTCCGTCTAGGTACTGGCCTACCGCGTAGCGTGGGCATGAGGCGGTGGCGAAATCGCGTAACTTTTCACCCAGAGAATGCCGCGGCGCCGCGAGGATAGCGGCAGCTGGTTTGCCGTCGCGGCCGGCTCGACCGAATTGCTGACACAGGGTCATCATATCATAAGCCCCTACGCATATAACCAGGGAGACATCTGGATAGTCGATCCCGTAGGCTAGAGACGTGCTAGCCGATATGGCTCCTCGATTTTGGTTCCACATGTCGAGGGCCTTTGCTTGTTCTTGGGGGGACATTTTACGATGGTACGAAGGTATACCGAGGGTAAGGGCACGCGTATCGCACTCTGCCGTCGACATGGAGAACAGGATGGCGCGCCGCTTCTGCTCGGTGACGGTGGTAATTAAGTCCCTGAGGACCTGCGGCAGGTCTGTGTGTATCTCGACGTCCATATATTCGTAACGGATGTTGTCCCTGGTAGTCTTGTTACGCAAGACGATCAGCTGTTCGGCAGAATTGGGATGATCCAAGCCCAGGCGTTTCATGAACAGGCTCTGCTGGGAAGGCGGCAAAGTTCCGGTGATGAAGAGCTGGCGATGAGAGATCTGATCTAGCGACTCACGTATCATCTTCACCTTAGGCCTCCACTCTTCGGACGACAATAGGACGTCGTGGGCTTCGTCTAGTATTACTCTATCTATTTCGTGTCTTAGTCGCTTTCTGTGGGCAAAGGCTTGCCATTCCATGTAGGACAGAGCTTCGGGCGTTACTAGCACGACGGACGAGGCGGTTTCTTGGGGCCGAGAGTCGTAGATGGCAACCGATATACCCAAGCGTTCCAGAGATTGCTTCGTGTGTTTTTGCAACGCCTTGGTAGGTTGCACGACGACGGTGCAGCTGTCGGGTTGCGCGTAAGCCGGGAGCGCAAAGCTTATCGATTTGCCGCCGCCCGTTTCGACGACCCACACTATCTTCTCGTAGGATTTCATAGCCGCGAACAGGTCTGCCTGGTGTTTGTGCAGTTGTGCGTGTGGGGTTTTCATCATCTTCTGGAAGCTCGAGTCTGTGGTGAGGGTCCCCAGCTCGTTCACGCGGCGAACCTGCTCCTCCAGGGCAGGGTTATACGCAGCCTCGGAGTCGTCCTCGCTCCGAGGGCGCTTGACACCATGCGCCGACGGCTCAAGGTCGAACAGGAGGTGCCATTGAAGCGATGCTTCAAAAAAGAGGTTAAACCTCTCTGCGGACTGATTGCTAACGGCATATATGGTATTTCCGACGGTAGTAGAATGCGCCGCTTGGGCATGCTTGGCGTCGGTAAACTCCTCGTCCCTAGCCACATAGTACTCGCTATCGTCCTCGTCGCCCACCAGACCCATGATGGCCTCGAGAGATCTGGAACTCATATATCGCTTCATATAAGCGATTGCTATGTGTCGGTAAGACTGGAAACTGATTTTTTGGCCTGACTTGGATTCGCCATCGGAACAGTGATTAGAGAATAAGAATGGTAGTTGTACAGGGTTTTAACATATTAGAAGATGAACAATGGTGGTTGTAGATGGGAAATATGAAGATTGGTTGTTGTAGGTGCGAAAGATGAAGGGAAAAATATTTGGAGCAAAGTATTATGTACAAGATGGATATTTAGTATCCGAAATTTTTTGGATACTAAGTGCTGTTGTTTCCAAAAGTTGTGATAAATGAAAATAACTACTCTAATAAATTTCCTATGGAAGGTGCCGTAACACTCGGGAAGGAGTGCATACTATGTACCTAGACACCGAACGCGAGAGGTGGAGGGTTCTTCTTGGAAGGTCTTGGATCATATTATTGGGACTACGTGTAAATACTAGCGTTTTGATACGACTGGAGATAGTTAGGCATTTTGCATTTGTGACTACCTAACCTATCTATGGACAATCATAAAAGCAACGCGAAACACGCGGATGTAGGCATGTACTTGTAAGGTACAGCGGGTGAATTGTTCACGAAGCTAAAGCAAAATCCATACCGTTACTACCGGAGTTGAGAGGCAATGAATGCTCCTACGACATATGACCGGCAGCCTCAACAACCGCTTCTTCGTCGCTTGTCCGGTTATATTGTTCGGTCGAGTCTGTTGGAGCCTGAGAATTGCTAGCAGCTGACGAACTTCCCAGTCCCATGTCTGTTCTCGGTCGCTTGGGTTCCCGATCTCCTCCTTGAGGCATAGGTCTCTTCTTAGATGAGCTAGGCTGGTCGGCTTCGGCAGTTGGAATATTGCCGGCGTCGTTGTCATCCTCGTCGTTGGCATGGTCATCTTGACCATCCACGTCGTTATCTTCGCGTTGTTGCTCGTCACCCATAGAATCTTCATCAGACTCTGCGTCAGGCACAATGCTCCTGAGCTTTCGGCGTGATTCTCTCCTAACCTTATCAGTCGGGGCCTTATTCGTCCCCTTACCGGGAGTAAGAGCATCGTAAATTTGGTCGGGAATAATATCTCGAACCCAATCCTGGTCGATCTCATCTTGAATATTGGATACGTAACAGTTATCCCGGAGCCACGACCAAGTCAACTCGGGTCGAAGCTGAGACTCATCTCCGCGCTCCCAAAGAGCCGCCCCGGCTGCAAAGTCGTCGGCTGTTCTAGCATTGAGACTCTTGATAATTTCCTTCGTGTCTTCGTCGTTTGAGTCATTGACTTCTTCGAGTATCTTCTTCCCCAATAGATTGAAGAAGCGAGCAAGCCTGATGGCTCGCTGTTTAGGGTCCAAAACAGCTGCTATATCGAGGTCATATACTGTCCTATCCCAAAGGTAGCGGTTGAATGGCATATTAAAAAGCAATGATAGTATCGTATAAGCTGCAATCTTCGCCGGCTCGTTGTGTATAGTATCCGGAATAGTAGATTCTACTCCCAATTGGGGAATGTACTTTGACCATATAATGGTCTGCATCCGGTCGTACATCGTACCGGCGACGTTGAATGTAACCCATTGGACTGGGCGCTGCTGCCCAATCCGCGGTAGCCTTCCCAGAGTTTGTACCAAGTTGTTGCAAGACCACGGCCACTGGACCAGTATACCTTTGCAGCAAGATTTGTGTAAGTTAATGCCGCATGCGGAGAGTTCAATAGATGAAACGAAGATATCAACGTCAGCCTTTGGATCATTAAAATCTTGTATGATGCGGTTCCTTTCGCTGTTACTGTGGTCCGACCGGATGTCCATGACGCGCCAGCCGAACATCCTGAGGTTCATACAAAGCTGTCTACAATATCGTTAGCGGTTGCTTGTATATGAGAAAATGATTAAAATGTGGAAAATAACAAAAAGACTTACTGCTGAACCCAGGGCATCGCCGCCATGATAACGACCCTGTTGGGAAGGTTGACGTCTCCCTTCGGAGCATTCATCCATTCATAAACCTGAATTAATACTCGCGACAGGACCGGAGACTCCCAGCAGTTGAATTTGAGGAAAGCGTAACGGCGTTCGGGGGTAGCATACTCCTCACGGATCTTCAGGGTCTCGAATAACCACGCAGCGCCGCCATCCCCCTAAGTGGCAGCTAAAGTCTTTGCGTGTGCTGATCCCAGCTGTACCGTGCTCTTCAGCTTGCCTTTGACTATATTCTTTGGAGCTAATTGATCAAGCTCCGCAAGTTTGTGCTGGGCGACCCATGCTTCCTCATCAGAGTTAATAACTACTTCTTGGGGGAAGGCTTTGGGGTATCCTATGGTTTTCTTGGAAGGCTCCAGTAGTCCCAGATTCTTCCAGTCAAATGCCGGAAGCAGCAGGTGCCTAAGTGCCTTGATATTTATTTTTCCCGACTGAGTTTCTTCGGGCGACCGCTGATGAAGATCCTTTTTCGAGTCGCGGGCCTCATCTGCTTTGGCATCTTGTTTTGGCGACACGCTATATAGCCTCTTCTTCCATTCCTGGTATAGCAAGTCAAGTTTTGCCTGCTGCTCGTCATGTGCGTATAAGTCGTGAACAGCAAATGTGGTAGGTGGGATAGAGTCGGCCGGGCAGATCACGCGTCCATCTGGAAGTTGGAGCTTCGTCTGCATGCCGCGCTTCACGGATATCTGTTCTAGTACCTGTCTGATCACCTTCCGAGATCCTTCAAAGTCATGTCCGAACTCCTGAAGCGCCCAGTAGATGTTGGCTGGGTTTACTAGCCAAGGCGGCCTTCCTGCGCTTGCTGCTGCCATCATATCTGCATATTCGTCCCCGTGAACATCGGGGTCTACGAGGGCGTGACCTTGTTCGACATTCTCGAGCGACACTAGACGCTCTTTAATGATCGCGTCATTGTCGATCGGATCTTGAAGCAAACTGTTGAGGTTTGGACTTAGGACAGCTTTGCTGAGGAAATTTTTGTGCGGGTTATGATTAGGTCCGTAGTTGGTAAACTCGGCCCCGGGCCCGTAGAAGCTATTGTAAGAGAAATCCACCGACACAGGATGTGGATAGGCATTCGGACAGGCCAACAATGCATACGATAAAATGTCTTTAGTAGAATTAACCATGGGTGTCGCCGTGCAGAGGATGAGATGTTCTCGCGGGAGACACTTGATAGTCTTGTGAAATGTTGCAGCCCGGTTCTTCGCTAGGTGAGCCTCGTCGCAGATAATAACGTTGAACTTTTGGTCGAATTTGGAGGTGAATATTTCATAGGTTGCCTCTTTTTTAGCAACTTTGCTAGTTGGGTCGTGAGATGTGATAGTACTGTCGGACATGGCTGTATCCCGATCTTCGCGGGCGACGTGTTCTTCGGATGGGTCGGCTTCATCATCGGCATATTCTTCTAGTATCTGCTCATTATCGGAATCGTAAATCAGGTCCTGCTCGAATAAATTTGGAGTGTCGACACCGCGGTCTTTGGCCACCCTCTGTCTTCGTATCCGCGCAATATAGGAACTACGCTTTGCTTGGATGTCAATCTCTCCCGTATTCCTTCGTTTCATTCGGAGGCCTTTTTCGGGGAGTTGAGTATGGTCGACCTCGTCCTCTTCAAGCTCATTAGGGCCATAGTCGTCATTTGTTGGAGAATCGCCTATGTGAAGCCCTAGGAAGACGCGCTCTTCTTGATTGAGCTGGTGTCGTGTTTTCGTATATGAAGCTGTAGCTCGACGCGAAAATGTGGCATATGAGCTGATAATGACGATCTTAGCCGTCTGAAAAGATGGTTTGTTAGCAGAGTAAACAAGCAATGATGGAGACAGGGCGCTGATAGTACAACTCACATCCGGGTCTCTGTCGTCCAAGGTATTATAGAACCTTCCAAGATCATTTACGCCGATGGTAGCAGAGTGTTTGGCTGGCGTGGCTTCGTTCGATGCGGCAGCCCCGTAATAGAGCTTGGGCACTAATAGATTGCGGAAATAACCTAAGCATTCTTCGAACTGGTGGTGAACGACAGAGGAAGGACAGATAATCAAACTCGGGTAGAATTTAGTTCGGTTTTCTTCGGGGGTCTCAGGCGTTTCCTGTTTGAATCTCTCGTTCAAAGATAGGTTTATCTGGAGTATAGTTCCAAGATAAATCACCGTCTTGCCGATTCCATGAGAACTAGATAGAAGAACGGTTCTCGGATAATACTGGAGACGGTGGATCATCATTGCAATATCTGTTCGTCACGGTCAGGTTAGATGCTACGCGTAAAATGTACATAACCCTCTAGGGGAATAAACATACCGATGATCTGATGTGGTCGAAGGACGGGGGAATCTTCACGGTTAGGATCTATCCTCGGGTCCTTCCAATCCCAACCGGTAATTCTCTTGGCCTCTTCGAAGGTGATAGACTTCGAGTCGTTGCCCCCAAACATGAGATTGAGACGACAGAGGAAATCTTGATGCTGCTGTGAATATCCCGTCGGCTGGTCGTCATCATCTAAAACGGGAGCCGGAAGTGTAAAACTAGGTAAACCCGTATCTTTTCCTTCTTCGAGCTGCGGGATGGAACTGTTAGTATATATGGCAGCAGCAGGACGAAGATATTTTTTACTTACGGCTTTGTATCTGGTGCCTAATTTCTCAATGATGAGGTCTTGTTCTGGTTTTGTCATGAATGGTAAGCGATCTATCGCCTCGGTGCGACTAGTGTTTCGAGCAATGAGGTTTTGAAACCTATCCATACTGTCCGCAAATTCCATAGCATATTCTTCTTTTTGACCCGAGGATAAAATTTCATACTTCTTCCACTCCTCAATATTCAGGGCTTCAGTAATACCCGCTTCCTCGAGAGTTCTCGTGATATCTTCTGCAGTGAACACCCAGGAGGTCTTGACCTGGTAGCCCTTATCCGCAGTCGTGTTAGCTTGCTCTTCCTGTGTGGATTGGATCCATTTGAGAGCGGCGCTGCTAGGGTGGATGCTAGATGGACTTTTGATATTTTTAGTCTGGTATGCCCCGGATTGTCTACGGTTGAGGAAAAAGCGAGCCGCCGACATTGCGCGGTTCCAGTCCTCACCGCTGTGCCCGAGAAAGTGCTGTGTGAGACTGCTTGATTCTGGGGGGTTAGGGTTGGCATCGCTCTCCACAAACAGATCGGGAAATGCTTTCATGATGCGTAAGCAGCCAACAATCAAGAGATCCCTAAATGAATCTTTTGCTATCTTCTCCTGTCCTTGGAAGTTGATATCGGCGTAGCTCGCGCTAATATCTTGGACTTGGTCAAGCCAAGTCTTAATATTGGTATCCGTATCGTATTTTGATATATACTCAGTGAGTGCTGTGTAGATTTTCGGGCCCCGGACCCTTCCGCCCTGATCCTGAGCGTTAAGCTCTTGCATAGCTGATCTCATGGGACCAAAGACGGTTGCAGCTGGGATTTAGTTAGCATACGCTAGAAAAGAAAATTGTTATCTCCGCGGGACCTCGTGGTAAATCCACCACGGGAGATATAGGGATAGGGGATCGTGCTCATTTACGTACCGTCATTGTCAATCCAATATAAGCAAAGGTCTATACCTTTACCATCGCCAAAGCCGAGGTAAAAAGCTAAGATCCTGTGCTTGCTTGTCGATGAGTTCTCCGCAAGTCTGACGAGAGGCTTCGAGTACTTTTTGGATAGGGTGCTCCAAGCGGCTTTATACGAGTTGACTTCTTGCGGCGTGGGCTGTTCAGTAGTTCCAACCGGGATGTGGCAGAACTTCTGAGGGGGTGGTTCGGGGTACCAGCGAGGCATAGGTCTGTCCAGTGACTTAATGACATCGCGGATAGGGTCGTTTCCGTGGTATGAATTACTGTCTAGGATGTTGTCTAACCGTTCAGGCTCTCTGGGGTTGGCTTTACCCCTACCCTTGCCGCCTTCGCCTAATCTTGCTTTTCCTCTGCCTCTCGCATTACTACTACCACCACGCTTTCCCGTGTTATCACCACCGCCTGGATCTTCAGCCGGGTGGGATACCTGGTCTGTCATGTTGTTAGCTATCACAAAATATCGGAGATGTGTGGTAAATGTACGATGTAAATGAACTGATAGAATATAGATGGTGTAGACCGTTGTGTGCCTCGTAAAGATTTTTTATTATTGTTGGATGGACAAGGATGTTGCATGCAACACAAAAAGGTATCATATATATGATAGGTAAAGTTATTATTAATGATATTTAATATATATTTTAATCCTAGATTAGAATACGTGAAAATATATACAGAATAAATAAATTTGTCCTACCCAAATCATATAACTAATATTTTTATATTAGCAACTTTTTTTTTTTTTACATAGTTATATAATATTGCAGGTTTACCGTACGCGCCAATTAAGGTCATAATTTTAAAGCATTTTAAACGTAATAAAATCGATTTTTTTTTATAATCTTCTTTTTTTTTTTATTTATATTAAATTAAATTAATAATTTTTTATAAAATAATATATTTACATTTTTAAAATATTTAAAATTTAACGTTAAATTATAATATTATAAATTAATAATTTATTAATATTAATATTAATAATTTAAGATATAATAAATAAAAAAAAAAGTTTATAAATTAATAATTTAAATTTATTTATTAAATTTATTTAAAAATATAACAATTAATTAATATATATATTTTAAAATATATAATTATTATTTTATTTAATAAATTTTTTTTTTAAAATATATATTTATTTATTTAAATTAATTAAAAAAATAATTAATATTATTATTTTAAGTTTATTTAATTTAACTTTATAATCTTATTATAATATAATTAATATTAATAAATATTTTAAAGGTTTTATTAATATTAAATTTTATTATTACATTAATTAAATTATTTTATTTATAAATTTATTAAATATTATTAATTTTTTATTATTTATAAAATTATTGAAAT